AATATCAGAAAAATCTACTTGAGTAAAGTAACGAAGTATTTGTACTTCGTTACTTCCCATCTCTGTCTTAATGAGGGAGACTCAAAAGCAACTATTTAAAGTACTGATTGAGTGATTAAACTGAAGGGAGGGGGAGCAGAAAGATATAAGTAGTAATGTATTTTTTAGTGCTTTATAAATATGTTACTGTTTTGTACAACACAACAACACATCTGAGAGAAAGTGAGCCTCTCAGCAGACAACAGGAAGGCTCAGAGTTGTTATTTTTGCACTATTCTCTACTGGGGCTACATGGAAGCTCAGTTTGTAGTTTCTTGGTTTTGAACCACAGCTTGGGGTCTTTCTGCATAGAGTTTGGATGTTCTCGCTGTTCCTTTTGTAGGTTCTCTCCAGGTACCCCGAGTAGTCTTTCTTAAAATACTTGACAATTAAGAAGCATTTGTGTTTAAAGTAGAAGCATAAACATATATTTATTACATATAAAAAATAATGCTCCATTAATTTACAGTACTCTACAGATTTGTAAAACATGCAACATTTTTGGTAATTAAAAAAAAAATAAAATAAAACCCAAAAAGTAAATCTGGCACATTAAGGCAAGCAGCAAATCAAAACAATTGTTTAAACAAACATTATGACTTCATGTGACACCAGTTTAAATACATATCTATCTATATATAGAGAGAGAGCTTAAAATGAAGAAGTCATCCATCCTGTCCAGAAGAACAAGGGGTGGGTGAGAAAATATATAAAAAATCAATAAGTTGTGGTTATTTTTTTCTAAATAAACTTCAAACATATACAGTTAATTATGAGAACTCATGTTTTTTCTTTATACATTTCGTATGATGCTATTATTTATCATAAAAAAAAAATCATACTCTCTATTTGTGCTGCTCACTTGGTACTTTGTACATACTCTTAAAAAAATGGTAATTTAGTGCAAATATAGACCTTCAAATAAAGTCTTTATAAAGTAAAGTAAAACTTAGCAAACAGAAGCTATTTCTATAGTTTAGTAAGATTAGGACGGCAGTCAAAGGGCAGTCTATTGTTCTTCTTCTCCCATCCTCCTCAGCATCTGTAGCTACCTGCCAGTATCCCTCCTCCAATGACAAGCAGAGCTCCAGACACCCAGCCAATGTAGATGGAAGCCCCTAATTCCCCCCTCCTCTCCTCTGTGGGCAGGGGGTTGTTAAATCCTGTGATAATGGTGTGAGCCGACCAGCTGACAGGAATGATGCATAGGACCCCTGCGATGATGAAAACCACACCTCCACCTATGCCAATGTTGGATTTAGTCGGCCTGTCGTAGCGACAGAAGTTGGTGCACCGGACCCCAACCACGCTGAGGCCAATGGCCACCACACTGACGCCGAGGGAGACGCAGATGAGAGCCCGAGAGCCCTGCAGGTCCTGAGGCAAGGCGAGAATGGAGTCATATGCCTTGCACTGCAGGTGACCTGTGCTCTGGATCACGCAGTTCATCCATAGACCTTCCCAGAACACCTGAGCGGTGACGATGTTCGCTCCAACAAATGGCGTCACTTTCCACATGGGGAGAGCACAGATGAGAATGGTTCCCATGAAGCCGATAATCGCCAGGCAAAAACCGACGAGCTGAGTCCTCATTGTGTCAAAGGTTAAAAAAACTGCAATAAAATTAATTTTGTGTTGACCTAAATATCATTTTTACAGCAGCTTTTCACACGGCTACGAACACTGCCGGTTGTTTTTCTGTCTGATTTTTTTTTTGTGCTGCAGGAATGAAAGCAGCAGCTGGGAGGAGACTTGTTAGTTTGTAGATCGAGTTTCCTGCTTGTCCTGATTCCTGCTCAACCTGAATAGCTGTGGAAAGAAAGTCCCTCAACAAAGAGATATGAAAAAAAGGGCTGAGAGGTCCCAAACAGAAAAGGTTATATTCGTCAGTGGTGGAAAAAGTACTCACAAACCGTACTTAAGTACAAATAAAGAAACAAATAAGTACTCTAGTAAAAGTATCACACTGATCTCTGAACTTAAGTAAAAGCAACAAAGTACTAGCTTTTTTTCAACTCACTTTGACTAACAGGCACCGAACTTTTCAACTGTAAATTTTAACTCCAGTTTAATCATGAACTCCACAGTTTAACAATATTGTAAAGAGAGCTTTGTAATTCAGAGCTGTCAAACCTTTGATGAAGTCCAGTGTCCTGCAACTTCTATATTCTTCTCTGTTTCAACACACCAGACTCACTCAATCATTTGACCTTAATAAAGGTCAAATGATTTGAGAACTTGATGGAAGAAGTTCACTCTGAGAACTTCTTGCATCATTCAGAAACGTAAAAGTTGCAAGAAACCAGACCTCAAGGACGGCATTCCCCTTTTCTGGTTCCAGGTTCCTTCCTTTGTATTGTTGGAGAGCAGTTCTCTTCTTTCTCCTAAAAAATTATTTATATTTTAGTTAGACTTTATAAAAATTGGACAGGACTCATTCAGAATCAAATTAAGCATTCACATATGCAATACCACCACCCCTCCAAAAAAATAAAAATAAAATTAACAACAACATAAAGGCCTGGGCCCCTTTAAAGCAGTGGTCTTAAAATAACTTGTGAAAGGCTGAAGTGGGTACAGTCTTTTGCCTCAACTGTGTATTTGCATACCTAATTTGCATAATTCAAACAATTTAATTTATTTTTTTGTTTTCTTCACACAGCTGTTTCAGATCTTATCTGACCAGAGCAAAAACCTGCAGCCACAGTGGCCCCAGTTTCCCCTTTGGGGGAACTGTAATGTTACCATCATAAATTTATTTTCTTTCATTCCAAAATATATTTAATTTGAAGTGTCTGTAAAGTAAAATGGCTTCTAGTCTCTCAACAAACTAAAGAAATATAACAGTTCCTGTTATTTACACTTTAACACAATAAACACAATAAACTTACAACATTTCTTAATATTTTGTCCAAATCCTAAAATAATAAAAAACATTGCATAAAAAGACTTAGACTTAGACAGATTTATTTTGTCATTTTTTTTGTACACGAATGTAAGTGCAGCATTGGAAACAGTAAAAAGTACATAAAAACAGTAATATAAACATGTGACTGTATATTTACAGTTCTAACAGTTCAGTTTTTTTATATTTGTATTCAGCTATTTTATTTTGAAAACATTTTAAACAAGAATTTTACTAAGTGCAATTCACTGGCAGATATTTTTTTTCTTTGCCAAGAATATCAAACTCAAAACATGATGAATATGATATTTTTTAGCTAGATGAATGGATGTCTGCTTAGTCTGACTTTTTTTTCCCTGTGTATAGTGATCAAAAAAGCTGAACAGGGCTATTATCTTAGCCTCATGAGACCATCCTAATCTCGCGAGCTTTCAAGGTTTCACTCGCTAATCAGTCTGGAGACTCTCCGTTAAAGAAAATTTGGAGCCGTTCACCAAACGAACGTCCAATCAGCATTGGCTTTGAGGCGGGTTGAGGTGTGACGCAAGAGAAGCGCGACAGTTCAGTCTAAAGAACATGGAGGCTTCAGCCAATGAAACTAGCGTTAGCGTGGCTATCGGGCAAGTTTTATCGGAATTACAGAGTATTTCATCACTGAAAGAAAAGCAAAACACTGCTCTGGAGGCTTTTCTCAGAGGAAAATATGTTTTTGCTCTTCTCCCGACTGGTTTCAGCAAGAGTAGCCTGGCCGTTAGTACGTCATATGCTTTGTTGATCTGATTGGTATATTTGGCCTGTCTATCACCAACATAGCCAATCAGCTGACCAGTATTTTCGTCCCTTCCCAAAATTACTTCAACGGAAGGTTTCCAGATGGACATGCAGAGCAAATCCATCTGGCGGACTCAGGTTACTATTATCTAGCATCACAACATCAATTCTTGGTGCTAATTGCCAGAAGGGAAGCGTTAGTTGAATAAATTATTATGATGTGTTGAATAAATGAATATTCAGGATTATATACAATATTTAGGTCTTGTTTTCTTATCTAGGGCAGTATATGTCGCAACTCTGCACATATGTGATTTATTCGTAATAATTTAAACTATAAGTTCAGGCAGGTGTTACCGGAGGAAAAATGCTAGATTCATGTATCTTTTTATTTCAAATAAGCCACTAAATTCATCTGGACTGTTGCAACCGTTTAAGTTGTCACCAACATTGATAAGCAACGAAGCAAACACCCATGAAAAACCTAATTTAGTGACTTATCTCAATGGTTTTCTATTTAGATTTAAGGGTGAGTTTTTGAAAGCTAGAAGCTCGTGCTTTCGGAGGAGACAAAGGTGGCACCAGAATCTCCAGGATAATTGTTTTTTAGCCAAATAAAGTGAACAATTCTTTCTAATAAGGCAAAGGGTGCGCAATTCTGTTGGCGGGCTCTCTGTGCTGGAATCCATTTTAGATGCGTGTTGGTCTGTAATGAGGCTCGGTAATAATAACCTCGCTCTTCTTG